CGAACGAAGAAAGCGCAAGAAGGGAACATTTGGAGTGCTTGGCTACTATTTGTCGCGGCTTCGCCGTGCTTTGTTAATTTTTCAAGCGCCCGCGAAATAATTTTATTGATCTTGTTATACAGGCCACCCAACCAACCACTCTTTTATTTATTGTTGAGTGTAAAATCCAATAAGCACCATAAATTAGTTCAAGTAACTGCTACGATCTTATAGCTCCCTTGGAACCGGCAAGAATAACGCTTTCATAGTAAATTTTTGTTTTGGAATAGACCCGATTGACCGATTGACAGTTTGGAAAATGTTAGCCAGTTTGAAAAATGTTAATAGCGGTCCCTCATTATGAGCGCTGCGATAAAGGTAAACGAATAGATTGACCTAAGCAAGGTTTTAATCAACGTAAATCTCTAGCCTAATTCACAACAAGAAGGCCGCCTTAAGTGTCAGACCGCTGACCACACAAAGGCTCATAAGCCACAGGTAACAAGATAGAATTAGTCAGTAGTTTATAACATGACAAGCGCTTCGGCACGAGCGTTTCCTTGTCAGCGGGAAAGTTTGAGGTCTGGAAGGGGATTATCATTGATATTAGCAGAGATTTAGCACCGCGTTTACGTGAAATGGCAAACGTCAGCCTGCCCTTTCACGTTCCACATAACATAGCGTGAACCTTTCTGCTTTCTTAGCATAAGCGCGCGTCATGACGGATTTGAAGGCGCCCTTGTATTACTCACAAAGAATAGTTTTAGCGCCCTTTTTCCAGCAATTAACTTCTGCTACGTGAGAGAAAAATTGAAGAAAATCTTAGGTACACGGCAAACGCGAAACAGATTACTTTCACGTGGGAACGGGAAAGCACAACCAGCAAACGTGAAAAAATGGCGGGAAAAACAAGGTGAGGTGGTCACTTTTGACGTTCATGTTTCACGTAATCGCGATGCTAAATCTCTCTATTATTAGTACCAGACTCCCGGTAATTCTCTCCTCGACTCGTCTGAAATCTTCTCGCGGGTGGAGAAACCTGGCCCCAGCAGCACTTATGATGAGGGCTGCTCGCAAGCTAAAGGGATATTGATGAGGGAAGCGATGGGCATAGCTTGCAAGACTGAATTAATAAAATGTGAAGCTGTTGCTCTAGAATTCTTATTATTCAAAATACTAACGGCAAAAGTTGCTCAACTTGATTTTCTCAGTGTCGAGTCTGGAATGTAATGCTTGTAGCAGCTCAACCTCGTGGGATGATTGTAAAAGTTCCCAAGTCAAGTGTCGTTCTCAAGAGAACCAGTGCATCCAGGTCTACTTTAAATATGGCGGAAGAGAAATTTTCTCCAAGGACTGTGCTCCTGAGTCCTCATGTGAAAGTTCAAAAAATCCCATCTGTGCAGAAGTCGCTGGTTCTGATTTCACTTGTGATATCACCTGTTGCAATGACAAAGACAACTGTAACGCGGGCTCGGTCTTCTCATTCAGTGGTTTCTTATTTTTGGCATGCGCATCGGCGTCACTGATGTTTTCCGTGGAATTTTGACATTGTAGCTCAGTTAAATGTTGAGTTTTGGGATTTTTTTTGGAGATGTTTGTTATTTGATGGAGTTGAATAAACTCAAAAACACACGTTTTGTCTCGTAATGATAATCAACTCATTACATTGTCTTTTATAGAAGCCAGAAAGCCTTGTGTGTTGTCATATATTCAGACATCCCGGAGAAATTTTTACGTTATTTAGGGGGACCTTCACTCCTTTCCATGAGTTGTTTTCGTTTTCCACTAATTCAATAAAAAGAATCCCAACTCATGAGACGATACAAATATTCCGGCTTCATAATCCAGGTACTAGTTAAATAGGGTCTCAATGAGGCGATGGCTTTTAAGGCAAAGGGTTAAAATATTTCGCTAATTTACGGCCAATGGTTATTATCTTTTCATTGTTGTCATCATAATTCTTTTTACGGTTAACTCTTTCAACGACCAATGGTCACAACTTGACAATCTTTATGCCCAAAGGCTCATTTTTTTTTTTTTGCCGCTTTACCCCGGCTAACCCCGGTTAACCCCATTTGGACCTTGCAATGACCACTGAATAAAGGCCAATAGTTATTTTTTTACTCAAAACTTGCATGAAACTTGTACCCCAAACATTTCTAATCATGGTCAAGAAGTTATGCCTAAGCTTAAGTTTTGCTTTTCGTTTTCGTTGAGGTATTCCTTTTTAATAAAAATCGAGACAGTGGCGGGCTCCCTCCTTATATTAGGTAAAAATTAAAAAATGAGCGCAGAAGGAAGAAAAACCGGCAAGTGTACACACACCCGAGTTCCCCCCCCCCACCCATCCCCCCTAGCTTAAGGTCTGGATCCGCCTCTGCAAGAAGTACAACAATGAAACTGATGAATGAATCGCCATTGCTCACGAAGGAGATCAGTACCCTTCAGGCAGATGCTCTGAAAGCGAAACCCAAAATTCCTTTTGTTCCCGGATCATGCTTTCGTGTGGCATTTTGAACATTAATTAGAGCCGGGCAGTGTCACCGGCTTGATCAGCTGCGAGTTTTGTTTAGGCAAGTCCAGTTTTATGTGTCGATGATTACTTGTGGCCGACTGCCGTTTCTATGCCTGGCTCTTATTGGCTGAAAATCACCGCACGAAAATTATGACATCAATGGAGGATACTGACGTAATGACCTTTGATAGCAATTCTGCAGCTTTTTTTCCCATGCATCTTCGTCCTTTGCTTTCGTCTTTCGCTTTCATCCCTGAGGTGTCATCTCTCTCGCCTTTTCTTACACAAGCGAGGAACGTAGAAAATTGCTGCGGATGACTAAGTACGTTTGTGAGCTGAAGACTAAAATCTGATGGAAGCGTGCTGTCAAGTTAACTCCGGTCGCAAAGCTTTCTCATTTACCGCAGAGGTGTAGAATTACGTGACCAACAATGACGAATTTCCGGACACCTTTTCTGTCTTGAACCGATCAGCTGAGCGGAAATTTTTAAAAAGAGCTTTAGCGTGACGTCATTTGGCATGCATAGAGTTGTATAAATGCAGCATGGTTTGTTTAGTCCAAAATACTAGATACCGGCGATCCTCCAGCTCTGCACATTGAAGACTTTGCTCCCAGATCGGTTGAGATACATCTGATCGAAATGAAACTGTGGTTAGCTGGTGTATGCGTTCTCTTCATTTCGCTTTCAACTGGTGAGTAAACTCATCTTGTAGGGGATTGTTATGACATTTTCCGTAAAACGCCATGGATGAAAAGATTAATTGGCGCTGTGGACATGTTTAGGCTTGTGTTATAGTCCAATGGTCAATCCTTACTTTCGATAAACGATCAGACCACGGTTAGATAGCCATCTCGTGTTCTCCCAGTTCATGCTTGGCAGTTTTCAATCATTTTTCGCGAATGCTTTTTAATCATTTATTGACCTCTGCAGACATAACGCAAAGCAGAACTCCCAACTTAAAGATTTTCCTGTTTAGTATAGAGCACCAACGTGAAAGTGAAAGAATGAGTTTTAATGTGTGATTATCAGGTATAATACTGCGGTGTGCAGTAATTAATCGAGGCTTAGTTCGTGTCGTCACTTTGATTTGTAAAGGTCAAAACTAAAGCTTGTTTTTATCCTATCAGTGGAGTATTACAGTTGAATTATAGAATACTACGTGGGATCGTAGCACCATGGGGTCAAAAATGTAAAAAGTGTCTCAAAAGCTTTGTCCAAACTTGTCCAAGTTTTCTTCTTGAGGAAGAGAACTCAACGATTTAAAATTTACGTAACTTCGTCAGTTTTAGCTCTCAAGTGCCAAGAATGTGCAGACATCCCAGGACACCCTTCATTCAGGTCGTGCACCAGTCAGGATATCAAATCGATCAAATGCACTACTCCAGGCTTTGATAGCGTATGACTTTAAAAATGACCATGGAAGTCCCAGCTGTTGGTCCATTCAACGCGGAAATAAGGAACTGTAGCTCCAGGAGCTTGTTTTGTGACAAGGGCAGCGACCTCAATTGTAAGTGTATCAGTTCCTTTCCGACGCTCTCGAGATCGGTGCTCCTTTCTTCACTCCTCCCCATTCCCCCTCCCTCCCCCCCGTCTCCCTCTCCCCCTCCCGATTCCACTCGCGCTCCAAAAGAAACTTATTCAAGCTTTTGCATCTACGAAAGGCTCGTTCAACATGTAACTGGATATTTTGGAATACGGAGCTGAGATTTGCATGTTTCTCGAAACGATAGCCCGAAACCAGCGGTATAAAAGTGAACTGCAAGGCCCCAGGTCAAATTATTATGCCGAAATCCTCTAATGGACTTGACTTAGCACGATGTTTTCTTTGCAGTGTGCAAGCTTACAAACGACAGCACTGGTGGCATGTTGACCGGATGTTCCACAGTCTGCTGTGAAGGTGACATGTGTAATAAAGATTCTTCCCGCCCTTGGAGTCTTCGAGGATTACTTCCGGGATTAAACTAAATAAATTGACAATTTGCGATTATAAGTAAATTTCCAAGTCACGCTATTTTTACAGAACGAATATCCCTCGCATCATTTTTAGACAGTAAAGTACATTCGAAGATGATTTTCATGCGCCTGATAATGATAGTAATAATATTTTTAGAAAAGAATTTCTGTATTGACCTTAGGCAAATTGAATAGAAAATAAAGGGGTACCTCATTACATAGCCTTTGCAGACGTTTCGGTCTTTGATTCAGCGCGTTATGTTAATGCGTGACCACGTTGTTTACACGTAACCTTTGGGGAAGGTTTGGCCTCCTCCTGGCTTCTCTTATTTTCCTCCTCTACCATTGCTGTTCCTTGGCTAAGAGTAGAAACGATGTCGGAAGAAAATTCGTGGTCACGCCAGTTGTCGCTTATTTCACGCCTGAACGCGAGGTGGACTTACTGATATTGTGACAAAGCACAAACAGTGACCTTGTGTTCTTTATCGTGACCCCTGCGGTCATTATTGCTCTATTCTGATTGGCTACTCAAACAAAGGTGTGAAATATTAATTCTCAGTTTTAGACTGAAAAAAATTAAACTTTGCTTGTTTCGGTCTCTTTAGTGCGAGAACGTTTGTTTTGAAGATTAGACTCTAAATTTGACGAATCAAAGCCATCTTAAACCTTATCCAAGATGAACCTGTTGCTCGCTAGAGCCTTCTTTCTTTGCCTCTTGCTTCCAGCCGGTAAGTTAACGCAGCAACAATGTCAGCATGTAAACACACCCGTATTTCAGTGCGTTCTTTATGAGTTTGATATCATTCACTCCTGCTTTATTTACAGAATGTAATTGGAATGGAACGGTCTAGCGCTTTCGTCGGACTTCATATTACAGTGGACTCTTTGTAATCGATAGAAAACTTTCTATTAACAAGATCATATTTTTATATTGCCGTTTTACTGATCACAGTCGTCTCAACTGAGATTGCATCAGTACAAAGTACTTCGCCGTCTCTATAGTCATCATCAGGAAGCTTCAGTATTTACGAGATCGAAAGTTTCGCCTGTACAGGCCTCGTCAATATCTGTCACGGCCAGTCAGAGATAGTAGAATATTAAAATTCACTGGGAAAATCAACTGCTCGGACCTGAATTGAGAAAAGAAATGCACCAAGCCTAATAACAAAAACATCACAAGAACTCCTTGAATAATCAACTGTCTAATATCAGGAATGTGTGCTATGGGTTAAGGGCTTTAGAACCATGAAATTCAGCATAAGAGAATTCGAAAACAAGGTTTTAATATTAAAATAGAAAGTTGCTTGAGCTGTCGAGTAAATAACCTTCATTACGTCTTGATATCGTATGATAATCCTCGTATGAGGGACGGACGTGTAATGGCGTGAACGGGGCTGGAATTCCAGAAAATTCCTTGAAAAAAAAAAAAAAAAGAAAAAAGAAAAAAGAAAGGGCAGGAATTAAAGAGCGACTGTCATATATATGATGAAATACTTTTAAAATTCGCTGTGACTAAATGCCCGGCAGCCGGCAGTCACAAATTTTCACAGAATTTCTACTGAAAGGTTCTTTAAACGTGAGTTAGGTCAGGCGAGGAAATTGTTTGGCTCTCGATTATCGCACTCGGGCCTTGCTGTTATCAGTCCGTGCAGCAGGTCTGGAAAAAATGTTTTCTCATTTAGCCGCCTCACTCAGTCAATAAGTGTACATTGGTTTGATTTTTGTCTTCATCCCGCCGTATGTTGGTCTTATTGTCACGCGTCGTTCGGTATTTTATCACGTAACGCGTTTAAGAAACGAGTGACGTGACATGACAAAAACAACGACCGCGAAGGAGTCTAATGTTTTTTTCGTTTTCTTTTCTTATAGTGTCGAGTTTAAACTGTTATGTGTGCAGCTCATCCAAATCATGGGAAGACTGCACGACAACAAGCCACAAGTGTCCAGCCGGGTATGATAGGTGCAGCAAGGTTTATCTCAAGGCCGGTAGCATCGAGTCTTTCAGAAAGTATTGCGCTCCCAAGGCTGCCTGTACACCGAGTACCGACTTTACCTGCAAGCATGCTATTGAATCAAGTTCTTTCGACTGCGACGTCACATGTTGCGAAGGTGACCACTGTAACTCTGGCTCAGCTTTGTTCATCAGCGTTATCCTCTTTCTGACATGCGGATTGGCGTCCCTGTGGATTGTTGTCAAAGATTGACATTCAGTTGTGTTGTAACATGAGGAAATCTATATGCAGCTCCTTTAATTTAGGGAGAGATGAAAGATGGTAGCGTCTCTTGACAGTTTCGATACATTTAGTTAAGCAGGAGCCTGCTTTCAAAATAAAATGTTTATGTTTTCTATGAATATGTTGTAGCCGTTTTTATTGTTTCTTTTAAACAGCTTCCAATTCGTGCTTTATCACAATTCGATAACAGACACTGTTAAGGTTGCAGAAAACCTTTCGAGATCCAGCTTCTTGTATAGAAAAATCTTGCAAAGGACATTCTAAGAAAATTTAGCTGGGGCATGCGATCGGCTTGGTATACGATGAGCTGATGAGCTCCCCAACCCTCCCCCCCCTACCATGTCATCAGACTATCATAGACTTGTTGAGTTGCTACTAAGAGAATACCAACAATTCATATTCTCTTGGTGGCAACTCATTCAGAAGGATTCATTTGTTGATAAGCCAACCGATTCAGTTTGAAAGATTTTCTTCTAGCGCCTTGGAAATGATACAAGCAATCACCTGAACTATCTTAAGAGTTTGAAAGTCAAGGATGAAAAAACAAACTAAGTTAGATAAAACAATAAGACATCATCTTTTAGAAACTGGTCTTTGTCTTGCATAGAGAAAGAAAACTTGAAGCGCAGACGTTGAAAAATCGGCGTAGCAACCTAAATTCGGTCAGGCGTCTTTGGCAATTTTTCTCCATTTTAACTAGGTTTCCTTTTGTCACAGGGATATTTAAACTTCATCAATAAGATTAAAAACATCGCAAAATGGCATCTGATTGGCTAATTTGCGTGCACTGATATCAGTTTATTGTTACCATCTGCTCATCCAGATGTGTCACCGCTTGAAATCCTACCGCGCATGTTCATTGTTCAGTTCAGTCAATTTCATTCAGGTACGAGAAATTAAAGACAAAAATGTTGTTTTTTTGGAATATTTCTTTTCAGTGTCGCATTTTTAAAAGGTGAGCTAATTGTATTTGTTGGAATGGAGTATTTTAAACTTTCTGTTAAGTATAATTTAGCGTCAAAAGCGCTACCACATACGAGAGGATAATTCATGCATTAATATCAAACAGTCAGACAGTATTAACGAGGAAACTTTCGAACCATTGCACTCCGGTTCCGTTAAGTATATATGTCGTCCGGCCGTTGCAGCACTGACCATTGCACTAAAGGGTCCGTGGCCGGGGGCGCCTGAAAAACAAAAAAAAAAAAACTTTCGAAAATTTTCTCAGAACAACCTAAATAACGATCTGTTCCGTCAAAGAGATCTTTCTCTTCGAGAGGAAAGAACGAAGAAATCGTTTTTGTCCAGACTTGAAAGGAAAGAGATATCAGATATTCACCCAAAGAAGTGCAACGAATTTACTGATCACCACCCATAAATCATTACGAGTATGATAAATAGTCATCCTTTCATGATTATAGAAACATTTTACCTTTTTTTTAAGCAAACTTAAGTTTGCTAATTTTTTTTCTTTTCTCATTTTCCATTCTTTTTGTTATTAATCGAAATTTTTTTGAAGGAGCAAGGTAGTGCAGATATCTATTAATCATTAGAGATAATTGTTAAAAAAGGTTTTTGTTTTCTCTTGACAGTACTGACTTTAAGATGCAACTCTTGTTCGTCCAAATTTTCGTGGGAACAGTGCCGAAAATTAAGTAAAACATGTCAGCCTGATAATCAATGCGGCAAGGTGTACACCAACATTGATGGGAAAGAAACATATGCAAGGGATTGTCTACCTCCGGAGTGGTGTTCAGAGGAAAACCATTATGTATATGTGCACGATCCTTCGCAGTAAGCCCTATTTAAGCAATAGTGAAAATCAGACCTGAAAAAAATTCAGGCCTGTACGGGATTCGAACCACTGACCTCTGCGATACTAGTGCAGCGCTCTACCAATTGAGCTAACAAGCCAACTGGGAGCAGGCCATCAAATTAATTCGACATAAACCCGTAGATGATAAATCAAACAACAAACATATGAAATACATATATATGAACTGCGGTTATGAAACGTATATGTGCACGATCCTTCGCAGTAAAGCACTATTTAAGCAATAGTGAAAATCAGACCTGAAAAAAATTCAGGCCTGTACGGGATTCGAACCACTGACCTCTGCGATACTAGTGCAGCGCTCTACCAATTGAGCTAACAAGCCAACTGGGAGCAGGCCATCAAATTAATTCGACATAAACCCGTAGATGATAAATCAAACAACAAACATATGAAATACATATATATGAACTGCGGTTATGAAACGTATATGTGCACGATCCTTCGCAGTAAAGCACTATTTAAGCAATAGTGAAAATCAGACCTGAAAAAAATTCAGGCCTGTACGGGATTCGAACCACTGACCTCTGCGATACTAGTGCAGCGCTCTACCAATTGAGCTAACAAGCCAACTGGGAGCAGGCCATCAAATTAATTCGACATAAACCCGTAGATGATAAATCAAACAACAAACATATGAAATACATATATATGAACTGCGGTTATGAAACGTATATGTGCACGATCCTTCGCAGTAAAGCACTATTTGAGCAATAGTGAAAATCAGACCTGAAAAAAATTTCAGGCCTGTACGGGATTCGAACCACTGACCTCTGCGATACTAGTGCAGCGCTCTACCAATTGAGCTAACAAGCCAACTGGGAGCAGGCCATCAAATTAATTCGACATAAACCCGTAGATGATAAATCAAACAACAAACATATGAAATACATATATATGAACTGCGGTTATGAAACGTATATGTGCACGATCCTTCGCAGTAAAGCACTATTTGAGCAANTTTTGTGATGATTGCTTGGCTTCAGTCACAACAAGTCCGTTTCCAGTCTTCTTGATCCTTTTAAAATAAACATCAAAGCTTTGTTTCCGACATTCTTCTGCCACTCAAATCTTTGAATCAATTTGGTAGATGCGTATTAAGCGGTACATGTATTTATAATCTTCTCCATTAGTTGGAGCCGGAGCACTCTTTAAGTGAAGAAAGACAGGAAAGTGAAGTAGAAGATAAAGAATATCGAGAAGCGTAGGGTTTTAATTCTGAAAATGTCGACAGCCGATCGAAGCCTTAATGGGAAAGATCTTTGACATATTCAACAAAATTTTCTTCAGACGACAGCAATATAGCATCAACAAGAATGAAAAACTATACCGCGAGTGCACCGAGCAACCATTAGACGTCACCAGCCCAGAGTGAATTTCGCACTATTCAAGATGGCGGCCGTAGGGAATTTGAAGTGGCTGTTAGAACCTTCTTTGAAAAACGATGAAAAAATCAGATCGCTTGGTAAGACAATTTTGTTTATGCCAGATCTATTGCGAGATACTTTCAAAGAAAGGTAGCAAAATGATTTACGAAAAATTATGACTACGCTAAAAGCTGATGAAACAAGTGAAGTCATATTTTCGTGCAGTTTGCAAGCTTTTCCCACAAATAAAACAGAGTTAATAGACCACGAACTCTCCATTGATGTAGCAAAAAGTCGTTGTTCTAAAGTTGAAAGATTTATATATTGCAGATTTTGTAACCCTCAGAAACGTTATGAATCTTTACAAAAGTGCTCGGCGGGATATACTTGACCAAAGCTATGAATAGTCAGTAATTATTGAAGTTTGTAGAATGCATACGTTCACAAAAAAAGCAATAGTAATTGAAACCGAAGGACAGTGAGTTCGCAGTGGCAGCACAGCAAATTAAAGTAAGGTTTGAAGCAAATATGGTTACCGGGCGGGGTTAGGAGGAGTGAAATCCTTAAGCAAAATCAGTAACGAGTTACAACAAGAGTACGAGCTATAATGCTTATTGCTGATTAAATCAGAGATACTTTAAGAAGAGGTTGTCAGAAACAACGTTTTATTTTTCCAGAGCTACATCATTTAACAATTTAAAAAAGCACCTCTATTTTTCTGTTGTTAATTAACACAATACGCGAAAGACTATGCTGGACTAGCATCCTCTGTTGGAGGTATAAAACGGCCTGACTTCATTTCCTTTTCACGAGAACCATCCTATGTACTACTACTACGTCCCAAGCAAGAAGTTCTATCTAAATTCACTACCGACATCATTTTAAAAAAGTGGATAATAGTTGCAGACTTGACCATCAACCGTGTTTGACCTCAACCACGGTCACGTTTCAGGCTTTGAAAAAGATCATCAGAGAGACCAAGGCGCATGACAGTAACAGAATACCACTAATGCGGGTTGCTGAGCCAGCATTGCAGTCGTCACCGCTGCAGCAATTGATATCACACTCGAATGATCCAATGGCGTCTTTACAGTGAGGGTTGGTTTTCTGATCACAGTAAGAATCGGCTCCGCACGATTTGGTGAACGTTTGGAGTGAGCCAAATTTATAATAAACCTTAACACATTTATCAGCAGCCGGAGCCACGCAGGTCGCGCTTACTTCTTTGTCTTTGCATTTATCCCATGATTCGGTGCTGGTGCAAACATAGCACTTCAAACTCCACACTGAAAAACACACGATAAGGAATAATTAGATAACAAATGGACGAGATAAAAATTTCTGCCGTCGATAACTGGCCTTGTCTTTCCCGCAAAGGAAAATAAATACAAGATTTGAAAATTTAAGTAAAGTCATTACATTTATGAAGGGCACAATTTCAATATAATTTGACCCTTTATATTTAAATAACCGTCCTTGTTTACCCATGCACTGAACGTTACTTTGATGTTTTTCTGCCCTTGCAAATTTCTTAGGAATTTTAATTTTCTGGGATCATGGTTATTGTGACACCCTTTGGAGCCCCTCTCCGTTTTCCTTTAAGATGAGGAAGGGGAGGGGGGGGTTAGAGAATATTGCATTTTAGTTGGAACTCAAGACACTGCTTGATTTCAAAAGATCGAAGAATTAAGGTGCCGTGCCGGAAATCTTAATTTAAGAACCCGTTCACCTGAAAACGTACCAAAGTGATTACACAATTTCGTTGGGAAAGGTTTGGAGATACAGGAAAGAGTAAAGTAGCTTAAAATGGTTCCATGACACTTCACCGTGACTGAGGAGTGTGATCCCCTCCCTTACCCCATCTGGGCCCATTGACAATCCTGTATAATTTGCTAATAATACATTTGACAGCTTGGATTAATCAACCGATATTTCAAAAGACGCAAGACAGATTCATACGATATTAAGCCGCTAGCAAGGATCGATATTTGTCCAGCTTCATTCAAGTGTAAACCCATTAAAAACTGATTACCATCCAAAAGAAATCCGCTGAAGATAAGGGTCGCTTGTAAGTTAATAATATGGATGGACGTGACAGATGTCACTTGCTAATTCTGAACGACCAATTTGCCCGTACGATATCGTT